TATATGTAGCTTTAGAGGTAAAGTGCACCTTCAAATTTTATCATGGTATATAATTTTGATGTAAAATGTTCTTAGGATTATCTCAAAATCTATTTTTATATGTAATTATAAAATTTTAAATTTCAAAAATGGTTAAAATCAAGTAAATCTATAAACATATGAAAATATTGAAAATGGATGGTGTAGATAATATGCTATAAAATGCACTATTTCTGAAACTTAAAATCTTCTTATTTTTCATGGTCATATATCTCGATGATCAATCAAAAGCTTTTTCAACATTAAAACTATTTTTTCCGATGGATTTTTGAGGGGTATCCGTAATTCTACATTATAAGGTTGCATCCTTATATAAACTTTTTCCTTAAAAGATATATAATCATGAGCTCGAATAGTTGAAAAAGGGTAAAATACTAAACAGTTCATCTCTTGTACGTAGTTTGATGATTTTTTTTTATTTTAATAATATATATTCCTTATATGATATGCTTTCACTTTTTTGAAAATAGAAGATACCCTACATCATGCCCTAAACATTTGAAAGTCACATGCATTGCATCCTCTAGCAATAGGATCCTTTATTATTCTTGTGACAATTACCCACCTATTAACTATGGCTTAGTAATGTAGTATAGATAGAATAGAGACATCGAGATATTTGTTTTAGTCTATTTTTATTTTATTTTAAAGTTTTTTAGAACCGAACTAGGCCATCATGTCATCATATATCAAAAGAATTGCGCCATTCTTCTCTATTGCTTTACATTGTCTTAATGAAATATATGCAATAAGACCATTTTCTTTTGGTCAAGGAAGTGGCATTTATTATTGACTATTAGATGTAAATTCTGGTGGTTGAGGGTTGTAATTGATTGGGCACAAAACTCAAAATAAAATTTGAGAAAGTATATGATACACTTTAAATTATCTTATTTCACATTAGATGGCTAAAGATGATTGTTGATCTTCTTATACCAAAAAATGAAAGGTCTTATAGTGCATATCATGTTAGGTTATAATAACATGACTTTGAGAGTATTTGGTAAAGGTGTGGTTTGCATAAGGCTGCAACTTTAAACAATCAAAGCAAGGTGCACTTCCAAATTTAGTTACAAGATGCATTTTTAATATTGAAAATTCTTAACATGATATGAAAATATTTTTTAATCTCCAATTATAAAATGTTAAACTCAAAAAATGGTTCAAATCAAGCAGATCTATAAACATATGAAAATATTGAGAACAGACAGACTAAATAATGTGTTGCAAGATGTATTGTTTTTAGGGCTTGAAATCTCTTTTTTTATCCATATATGTACTTCTCGATGTTGAGATGATCATTTCATGTTATTCCAACATCAAAACAACCTATTTCGAATAATTTTAGACGTGCACATTAATTCTACATCTTAAGGTATCAACTTGATATAAACGTTTTCCTTGTTTAAACTTGCCTAGTTCTCGTGAGTTGACATTAGCACCATTAAATCATATTTTACTTGTAAGTTTTGGAGTTTTTTATGGATTTATTGTTTCAATTGAAAACTCACATAAAAGAAAAAAAAACAAACAAAGAGTTGTTGGAAAATTCAACAAGCTACCCATGTTGCTTCTCTCATGCACTTTTGGCCATCTTTTACAGACTCAGATTTGTTGAAACTTGAATCGTCCTTGAGTATATAACAAGGGACTTACTGATTCGGTTTTGTCTCAATTATAACTGTACATTGTTTGCAATGATTTTAAATACTCCAATAAAAAATTGGTTTGCTTTTTAGGAGCTCTAGATGAGTTATTTTTTGAGTTTTTGCCAATCTCATACATGGTTTTTGCCTATTTTATATAGGGAAAATTATAAATACCTTCAAAATCAACTTTCTAGACTTCAAATACTTTTTGTATCATAACTTAAACCTCAGTATTGTTTTTCTTTATATTTAACCCTAAATAAAAAAGTCAATGGATTTAGGACAAAAATGCTTTAACTTTCTCTTCTCCTCGATTTTGAGATCATGTGACTCTCTCTCTTTGCCAACACACTCTCTCTCAAAATAAAAACCTATTTTTATCTCATTTTTTCTCTCTCATTCTTTTTGTCTTTCTCTTTTTCTCTCTTCACACACCCTCTCTCTTTCTCTCTTTAGCTATGAACTAAGTTTTTGCGGTCCGGTGTGCCGGACCGCTTAGAATTTGAGTTAAGGTTGGTAATGCGGTCCAACACCATATGTGCCGGTCCACACTACAAGCCACGTTACTGCAACTCAAAGAGAGAGGGTAAGATAGAGAGAATGTGTGAGAGAGAGAATGAGATAGAGAGAGTAAGAGTGAACGAAATGGGTTTTTACTTTGGGAGAGAGAAAGAGCTCGCAAAGAGAGAAAAGGAGAGTCACGTGATCCCAAAATGATGATAAGCTTATTGCTTGTGATATTGTCAATACTTTAACCAATCAAACCCAAATCTAATTCCATAAGAGTCCATTTTTCAAGAAATGATTTAAAAGACATGGTTTTTAAAATAAGCTCATTTTTTAAGTGCATTAATCATAATTCCAAAAAGATAAAAAACATTACCCATAATCTCTCTCTCTTGGCTCATGGTATCAGACCTTATTTAGTTTTTGGAAATTTTTATTTTTAAACATGGAAATGTCTTAATATCGGTTTATTATTTTATTACTTATAATATGTACATTTTCTTTGTTTGTTTGTTTGTTTTTTTTTTTTTGAACATTGACACAAGCTTTTCATTGAAATCAAAAGGGGTTTCAAGATGTACAAGAGAAGCAAAAATCTAGTAAAGATTAACTAACAAAGAAGCAAGATAGACTCCACTCTTGGCTAAACAATCTGCTTCCTCATTGGCCTTCCTGTAACAATGATGTATCTATATATTTTTGTATCGATAATATATCCTTGATTTCGTGAAATAAGGATCATAGTCTCCAAAGGGTGTTAAAAGTTCCATTACTCCATCCTATCACATTTGCTGAGTCTCCTTCATTAATATTTGCCCCTCCATCTTGCTAGCACTTTTAAAACCTTCTTTATGTACATTTTCTTTGTTTATTTATATCTTTTTACCACCCTCTCCTAATAGGTTCATCCGAAAGCATACAAGTATATATACTTTTATTGAATGATATTTAGTCGATTTTACAAAAAAACTAATTAAATCATTAAATATTTTCATTAAAGTATAAGATCGATGACTTATGTAAATATTTTCCATAATTAAATCATTAAAAATGTTAAATAAGTCCCCAATAAGGCAAAAAAAAACTATCCAGGGTTTGGAATGAGTAGATTTAGTGATCATAGCCTTTCAGCTCAAAAGCAGTGGATTATGACTTCTTAGTTGACACATTTATTACGCACAAAATAGTGGCTTAAGACATCTAGTCTTGCACAATTTATGTGTGAGGGACTGTGGTGAACAAACAAAAAGAAGGTGAAAAATATGGCTGAAATATGCTAATAATTAAAAAAAGGTGTGATTTGTATAGGGCCAAGGTTCTAAACAATCAAAGTAAAGTGCACTGTCAAATAGTGTCAAGAAATGTGGTTTCAATATTGAAAATCTTTGTGATAGCCTTATAATTTATTTTCATCTCTAGTTATATATTTAAAGCTTCAAAAATTATATCTATGAAAACTTGAAAATCTTGAAAATGATGGTCCAAAAATGCCTTACAAGATGCATTATTTACAAAACTTGAAATCCATTTTTTTCTTATGTCCATGTATCTTGAGGTCGAAATGATCAATTTGAGGATATTTGGGCATCAAAACAACCTCTTCTAGTAAAATTTTTGAAGTACGCCTTAATTTGATTGTATAGAACCTCACACTTATATAAACTTTTGCCATTAAAAAATGGATTGATGATGGAAATAGAGTATGAAGAGAAACAAGGAAGAGTTTCTAGAGGGGCCACAATATGGGTTAAAAATTAGGTTTTGGCTGAAATTCAATAAAATCTACAATATTAGTTCAAACTTCAAAGGAGAGAATGGAGGGAGAAAGTGGGTAGGGTTCACAAGTGATAAATTTATTTGGCTAAAGTTTAAGTGTCATATTATCAATAGGTATCGTTTCTTTTGTACATAGGTGTCACAATTATTCTTGTCCTTTAAATTTCAAAATGGTTGGTTGTAAGAGTGTCATTTGATAGACATAAAGTTCCAAAAAAATTATCGGACTTCATAAGTCCCCACAAATCAATTTGACATCTAATTAGTGGGAATGATTATGATTTCTATGTATAAAAGATAAATAGTCTCTTTGTAAACAAAAATAACAATTAAAAAATAAAAAAATATTGTCCAATATTTGTAACATCTGACATGGGGCAAAATTAGAATAGATAAACCACGAAAAAGAGGGACCTCCAAATAAAATTTTGAGAATTTGAACCTGACCTTCTAGTAAAATAAACCGGTTCATAAGTAATTTCCAAAATTAGAAGAGAAATATCAAAATGCCTTTTAATTTAAGCATTAAACATTTGAAAATACCAATTTTCTTGAGAGGGAGAGAATAAGGGTTCTGTTATTAGAAGTAGCAATTGTATAAAGTTTTCTTCTTTTTTGGGGGTGGGGTGAGGAGGAAGTAGTGAAAAGAAAAAAAATACGGTGCAATGTAAGCAAAATCGGACTGGGGCAAAACTAGATTAGGAAAAAACACGAAAAACAGGGACCTCCACATAAAATTCTTCAAACTTTGGACCCGACCTTAATTTTGGTAAAATAAACCGGTTGGTAAGTAATTTTTGAAAATTAAAAGACAAATATAAGATAACCAAAATGGCTTTATTTTAAGTCTTCAAACATCTGAAAATTGCAATATTCTGTAGAGAGAGAGAGCGAGAGAAGCTCGAAGAAGTAATGTAGGAGCAGCACAAGAAGCAAAGGGTCATAAGGGAAGCAAAGGGTCATAAGGGGCAGATGGTTAATTAATGTTTACACATTCATTTACAATCTAAACCAAGATACGGTGTTTGTTCTTCCTCAATACTAATCTAAATGATGGGCCGGCCACCTTGGCCCAGCCCTGGCCCGGGTCCCTATAGGGCTTGGATGGCTGCGCCGATCCAAAGAAAAGATAAAAAAAATTAAAGGAAACTACAGACCCGGCCCAAGCCGACCTTATGAGCCATTGTGATCAGGCCCTTGCTTGCCCTCAGGTCATATTTTGTAGCCCTGACCTTACTTTTTCAGGGTCGGTTAACCAAGCCAGTCACCTGGCCCATTTGGACTCCAGTTTTTCTCAATAGAGAGAGAAGTCAAGCGGGTATTAACCTAAGAGAAGAGAGAGAGAGGGATTTAGGGGTGAAATAAAACAAGATTATGAGGGGCTCCAAGAGACTTATAGAGAAAAGGAGTGTTAAGTGGGTAATAAACCAAGGTAATAAGGGACTCCAGTTTTGTTTAACCATAACATTCCTTGTATAAACCCTCCAACCGTGAAACCCATCACTTCCATCGGATTTCGCATCGCGTGAAATCCTGGCCATCGAATCCTCCCTCTTAGACTAGCTCCATCACCCCTGTTCTCAAACTCCCCATAAAACACCCCCTTGACGTCCAACCCTTCCTGGGCCCACCACCCCTGTGGCTCCACCACCCCACTCATCTCTGTCTGGGCCACCACCACTCGGGCCCTAGGCCCGGTTGGGTGGCCCAAGTACACCGAGCCTTGCGAGCCCGAGATGCTGCAATTGTGCAGGGTGGTGCCGGTAGTCTGGTGCTTGTCTAACCGGGCTTGGGCTGTGATGGAGGCCCGTTGGATGCCGGGCGGTGTCTCCAATTGGAGAGTGCAATTCTGGAATACAGATGTGGCGTCCCCAGCGATGAGGTCTATGGAGCCAGATATGAGACAGTTCCGATAGAATTGGCGGTGGGTGTGGGCGTACACCGGGCGGTTGTGAGAGGATATGTGGCAGTTGAAGAAGGCGGCATGGTCGGATTCGACGAGGATTGCCACCGCCACCCCATTATGCGGTGCGGCGGTGTTCTCGAAGGTTATGTTCACGGCAGTGAAGTATGATCCTGATGCCACTACAACCAAGTTTGGAGGAAGTAGGGTTGGCCACTAAGTAGGAACTCCTTTTAAAAATTAGAGTAATTTACGTATAGACCCTAAAATTAGAGGTAAATTACAAAAAGTTTAGCGTATAAGTGGAAATTATAAAGAAGGTCGGCCAACTCATTTTTTTTAAATTTTTTAAAAGTGCCACTCAGACATCATGAATTATTTTTTTTTTTCGTTAGTAAAGCAGTGCCTCAATCTTTAAGGCATGCCGTACTAACGAAGTAAAAAAAAAAAACGAAATTCAAATTGACCGAGTGGCAGTTTTGATAAAAATTAAAAAATGAGTTAATTGATATTTTTTGTAATTTCTATATATAAATTGAGTATTTTATATTTTATCAAAAATATTTAGGGTAGGAACGTAAATGACTTTCAAAATTATGAGAGGAAATCATTCAATATACCAAAAGTTGCCGTCCTATATTCTGTGAGTCCATCGTTGAAGCTCCGATTTCCGGTGATGATTGTGTTTTCCGGTGCATCTCCGATCATGACGAGGTCCCTCATGTCTGGTGTCACACTCACAGTCTCCTCATAGACCCCCTCCTTCACTCTTATCACACGCCTCTCCTTTGGTACCTTTGCTACTGCTTTTAACGCTTCCGAGATCGTCTGAAAATCGCCGCTCCCATCCTTTGCCACCACCACGTTGGCTGCCGGAAAAGCCCTGCAACTTGTCTGAAAATCCCCACAACCCTTCAGAAAGCTTCTTTCCACTTGGATACCCCTGCTATCAGATAGCAGCTTTCTGCCAAATTTCCCCTCATTCAGCAACTCATCCAGTAGAGGAACCTCAGACATCATGGCGAGGCTGTTCCTCGACATCTCAGTCCCATTTCTAAGGACTCCAGTTACTCGGTCCCGAACACCTCCATTTGTTCCTTGGAGCCCTTCGGAGCATGTCCACTGGTATGTCACGGCGGCACTGAGGTAATTCACGATGTCCTCAATCTTTCCAGGGATGTCCATGACTGTGTCACCGTCCATGCTCGCTCGGGCGGCTCTGAGCTCTTCGTACGCGTAACGAAGTAGGAGGTCACAGTCGGAGAGAGCCCACCTCGTGCGGCCCTCACCAATAGTCTGGGCGAGCTTGATGGCCATTCTGCGGGCCACTGCCACCGAATCCGAGGCGGCCTGGATGGAGTACATGATCAAGTCCCGCGGGTCCTCCATGTGGAGGCCGGAGTAGGATGAGATGCTGGATATGCACAGGTCCCTGTAGTCCGTGAGGCTACAGAGGGCCTGGATCTTTTGCAGAGAGGATGATGGGCCGGGCCCGCCAGGGGCATGCTCCGGGTCTGCAATCTCGCTGAGGAGCATGCTGATCGAGATGGCCATGACCATCGAGACCAGGATGATGGCGGAGAGCACAACAATGATCTTCTGCTTCCGGGCCTTCGCCCGCTCAGCGAGGATCTCTTGTGGGTCCCTCTCGTCCACGGGCTCGAAGCTTTCCTCAGAATCCATTCGAAAGGAGTCCTCCGGCGACATCATGGAGCTTTCTTGAGAGATTGCGGCCGCGGGAGCCATGGCTGGTTTCAGGTGGCTTCAAGGGGACAAAGACCACAATGGCTGTGGCGGCTGCATGGTCCCACCACGAGGCAGGATAGAGCTTCGAGCTCTCAAATAGATAGATAGAGAGATAGAGATGAGAAAAAGAGAGGGGAAGGGAGGGGTCAATTTTGAAAAACTCCATTTTGCTGGTGAAGAGAGGAAGAGAAGGAAAGAGAAATGGTATGGGGGAGGCCGTTGGTGCGATGCAGTATTGAGCTGGAAAGAATGAAAGACTTGTGGATACACATAAAACTAGGAGGAGAAGACTGCTTGCAATGCAGTCAATTTGGATCATGCCTGATCCATTAGATACAGGGTGGGTGCAGTTTGCATACCAATGCATCCGTAGGTGTAGAGGTAAGGTTCACCTTCAAATTTTATCATGGTATATAATTTTGATGTTTAATTATATCTATTTTTATATCTAATTATAAAATTTTAAATTTTAAAAATGGTTAAAATCAAGTAGATCTATAAACATATGAAATTCTTGAAAATGGACGGTGTGGATAGTATGTTGTCAAATGTACTATTTCTGTGACTTAAAATCTTTTTATTTTTCATGATCATACATCTTAATGTTGAGACAATCAAAGGGTTTTTCAACATTAAAACTATCTTTTCTAATGGATTTTTGAGGTGCATCCGTATATGTAGAGATAAGGATGAAACCTTATATAAACTTTTTCCTTAGATAAAAGAGAAGCTTTTGGATAATATTTACAACAACAAATCCCATTTTATTATTGAAATATAAAACCAAATATGTGTATTTTATATTTTGGTAAAAGGTTTATATAAGGTATTAGCAAGTTGGGGACTATTAATTAATCGCTTCACTATAAAATTAGAAATAAATCATTTTTATTTAAAAAAAGCAGAAAAAAAAATCGATTAAAAAATATGGATCGACGAGAATACTTTATGTAAAGATACCGCAAATATATCGGGCCGGGCTCAAAAAATCGGAGTGAAAAAAATGGATAAGCTTAATTTTGAAATTCTAAAAAATACAAAATATGCCAAAGCCATCAATAATTAATCCATCCATAAAAACTTTGCCAGAATAATATAATCAAGTCAATTAATTTAGATTTCTCATGACTCTTATCCCATCATCCAATATTAAATAGAGATTCAAAATTAAGTATGAGGCATAGTAGAGTCATCATAATTAATAGAAAAATCAGGAGTTGAGGAAGGTGTAAGCCCCAAGTCATGTAACCATGCATCATTATTATCATATGGGGAGATGTTGTCATTTTCCGCCTCTTCGAAAACCGCTTCTGACAATTAAAATAAAGTTAAGTAGAATTAAAAAATAAAAAAATAAGTTGATAAATGCACCATATGAATTTCTCATTAAATGATTTAACAAACATCACACCTACTTAATACATACCAAAAAAAAAAAGATACACCATATAAATTTTCTCACGAAATACTTTTAACAAACATTATATCTACTGAAGTACTTGTAAAAAAAAAAAACACGAATTTTTTTCCCATTAAATGCTTTAACTATGGTCACCCTCCCTTTATAACTATGGTTAACAGTTTGGATTATAATTTTATATACGAGCAATGATCCAATGCAACGGTTGTATCATAGTATAACACAACGACACTTCTAGAAAACCATGTTTGTGGTATTTGTATGACCCCAAATTTTGCACACGCACTCTCTTCATCTCAATAATCAATCCCCCTCCCCCCCCCCAAAAAAATTTTCAATTTGAACCCTAGATATGGTCAAAATGAGTCATCTCTAAAAAACGAATCTAGACCATTCATTTTATGAATTTCAAGATCTTAGCCTTTATAAACTCAAAATCATTTTTTTTCTTTTTAAACATTGTTCATCTAATGATAATAAAGCCACCCAAAAAAAATTGGAAATGAAAAAATCCTTTTAAAGCCTAGATCTAAGCATCTCACCAAAATGAACGGCCTATGTTAATTAGGCTAAAAAATACTTTCTAGGTTGTATTTTCAATTTTTTCTTTCTTGTTTTGTGATCGTTCATTAAAATGAAAAGAGTGTATATTGAAAGAAAGACCTATGTGATCTTTTACCGGGGAATACATATTTTATTTTTTTATTTTTTTCACCGCTTTCCTTTGGCAAAAGATCACTTAAAGGTGGTCTTTATTATAAGAAGATAAATTTCAAAATAAAAT